GGGCCTCATAAGGGAACCTTCTTCGGAAAAAAGGCGCTACGCAGTGCCTGCTCAGGGACGCGGAATTCCGTCAGGCGTGTTTATCCTGCACGTCTTTGGGATTTATCGTGCTAACTGCCTTCAAAGGGTTCATTGGTGTAGTGGAATCATCATCCTCGGAGGCATGTAGACGTCAAGCAAACCGGAGAAAATCATTTCTCTTTAGTATAGCTGCGTACATCGTCGTTGCGCCAAGCACATAAGGGGTTGTGTTTCGTCGCTGGGCAGATAAGAGACATATTCTCCTCAAGAATTTTTCTGACCTTTGATTTTTCCCACTTCATGCGTACTATACTATACTACCAATAGCTTCCCAGTCGGTGGCTTGGCGAAACTATCATCTGTGCGGCTGCGTTCAGACTTCGCGGCGGCAACGGTTCGGTTGATGCGCATGCTTTCGACGGCATCGAGCGCGCGACCGAACCGCTGCCGTCGCGAACTCTGAACGCTGCCTAATCGAAGACGTCTGCTTGCCACTCCTCTCACTCTCCCATGCCTCAGTGGAAAAAATTTGGAGTGCGTAGATAGAATGGTAGAGGGGTCTTATTGAAATTGCCGTTTCCTATCCCTGCGATGTACAGTGGCCTGTCGATGAATCATGTGGAAATGTTCCTGCCTCGTACGTTCCAGCGCGGCGTCAGCCCGTATCCCACCAGTCGTTTCCCGCCGCGCCAAAACGTTTGCAACCAGGGACACCTCTACATGGCCGACAGTGACTGTGCCGGTACCATACCGCGTCCTGGCTGGTTATTAGTACGAGAATAGAGGTGCTCAGCACATCTCAAACATCTGGAGATGGGTAGACTGTTGAGTTTTTGACTTTATGGACTTTGTCAGAACATTTGCCATGATCACTGAATCTCCAGGCTTTCTAAATAGACCTAGACAATGGCTAGTATTTAATCTCACTTGCTGTTCAGGTTGAAGGACTCAACGGCCCTGCAGTACTGCATTGATCGTGCAATCAATTATGCTCCATACTGTGATCTGATATGGATGGAGACCAGCCACCCCACTATCGCTGATGCGAGAGAATTCGCTGAAGGTGTTAGAAAGGTGCGTTATATAGCCCTAAAGGTCGAGGATAAATGACCATCCGGATGTTTCAGGTGTACCCAGACAAAATGTTCGCCTACAATTGCTCACCGTCGTTCAACTGGAAGCAGCATCTTAGCCCAGCCCAATTGGAGAAGTTCCAAAAGGTTCGTTCTAGCCGTAAAGTACGATTTCTTCCGGGTAAACAACGATTTCTGCTTATAGGAACTTGGTGCTTTGGGTTTCAATACCAATTCATCACCTTGGCCGGATTCCACGCAAACAGCTTCAGCATGTTTGACCTAGCTCGTAACTACAGGGATAAGGGAATGCTGGCGTATTCTAACCTCCAGGAGCAGGAGTTCGCAGCTGAACAGTAAGCTCTAGCCAATTTTGCGCAAATATGACCCGATTCAGACTACCACTCTCTTCAGGCACGGCTATTCGGCCGGTGAAACACCAACGAGAGGTTGGTACGGGTTACTTCGATCACATATCTAATGCGGTCACAGGAGGTCTGTCTAGCACCACTGCTCTGACTGGCTCTACTGAAGAAGCTCAGTTCCACACAGCCACAGCCAGCAGTGAAGATGAGGAAATCCTCATGGTAAGTGCCAGGGTTTGCTTGGTCCAGGAATGGGTTTGCAATAGAAAAGTTTTAGCTTACTGTCCCAATGTCGCCTGGAGACGAGAAAATCCTCACCCCTGATGCACTCCGCTTCATCAAAGAGCTCAACCTCAAATTTGACGCTAAACGACGTTCGCTTCTGAAGAAACGCATTCAAGTACAAAATGGTAAGCGAGACTTATAGGCACATTTCACCTAGTGAGTAACTCCATTACTCCATAGCTAGGTAACTTGGGTACCCACTGGTCAATGATGTGCCCTTTTCGCAGTCTGAAAGGGTACAGAATGCGGGCTGGAAGGTTATCACTTAGGCCCATGTCGATATTTCACCAAAAGGCCCATTTTTTCGTCATGCTTAGCACTCTCACCTCTCGGTGTCTCGCGCCCACGCGCAGCCTCTACACCGCTCACTTGTCTGGAATTTCGCTCTTACGCGCGGTCTCCCTTCTTCGCGTACTCCTACATTGGCAACCAATGACGGGTCTTATTTAGAGCATCTATGACTATTGCTCCTTTTCCTCCTTTACTGAGCTGCCCTTCACATTCCACACTGAAATCTTGTCTTCCATTTAATCGCGGAATAAGGCCTAAATGAATATTTCTTGGAAAGTCTTAGGCGTTAGGATTGTAAGAAGATGTATAGCACCACAAGGACTCATTAGTATGGTTCCAGAGAGCTGAAGCAAAGGGTATTCACCGAGCCATGTGTGGGACATCACATCTACGTTGCGGCCATGCAGCTGCGCTGTGACGTCACGCACGCGTAATTTGCGCCAGGACCTAATTGTTCACGAGGAAATTCTGTAGCACAACTCGAATAGATATCAAATTGTGGCCATTTTGTGCGCATCGCCGCAACGTGAATGTACACCCCTTATCTCGGTGATGAACTGGGCGTGGTAGCGTCCTTTATTTGGCTATCATAAGTGATTGCGCTGGTGGTGGGACATTGGAATACGTTAGCCATGTATTTGTCATTCACAGAAGGAATGACAACTGTTTAAGATGGAAAGATCTCACGAGCAGCTCTTCCTACGTCATGTTCAAGCTTACGCAGCCATGCCCACTCCATGTTCGGGATATGGTGCGTAACTTTCTGTAGCAGAAAGTCGTAACCCGGCTACTTTTTAGTGACAGTTCTAAACAATATATCTAACCCCTTCTATTCTACCATGTTGATGAACTCCTCCGCTTTAACCCGAAGAATGACAGATTTTTCAGAACTCAATGATGGCGTCTATTTCCCTGACTTCTCACCTGACACTGCCAAGCTAAGGGAGGATCTCTCGTGGAAGGGAGCTGAAATCCCACATGACCTTCAGGTATGTTTGACGCGCCAGATGGTGAAGATAGCGTGGCACTTATGGTTAGAGTCGAAGCAATAATTTTAGGATCGCCGGGTGGAGATCACGGGTCCAACTGATCGCAAGATGGTCATCAACGCGCTGAACTCTGGCGCTAATGTCGGTCACCTCTAGCTTGATTCTGTCCTTGATTGAGAGCTCGAAAGTTTTTTTCAGGTATTCATGGCCGATTTTGAAGACTCAAACACCCCATCGTGGAGGAACCAAGTCGATGGCCAAATCAATCTGTACGATGCTGTTAGAAACAATATCTCTTATGTGCAGCCATCCACAAAGAAGGAGTACACCCTCAACAAATCAGTTGCTGGTAAGGACAGGAGGGGCGGTTAGAGACGAAGAGGGAGGGAGAGGGCATTTTGCACTTTTGCTACCTTACATAGACGTGTCGAGTCATTTAGAGAGCTATTTCATGAAGTTACAAGAGATGACTGGTTTTACTATGGTGGCTCGACGAGCTTGCTCCAGCTGCTGGTAACAAACAAGTTTGCAGGGGTTTACAAGCGCGAGCAATGCAGCGAGCAGAATTGCCGGCCCTGCATTTGCCAAATGCACGCCATTGAGAGAGAGTGAGGTACTCCTCTAACCCGTGTCAGATTTCAGTGCTGGAGACAGTGTGCCACAAGCAGAACCAAAGTCCACGATTGCGGATCTACACACTAGAGGAGAAGCGACGTGGAAGAGGAGAGGGAGAGTGAGCGGCGGGTGGCGAGGAGGGCTTGCTGGGGTCGGACTTTGGCCGGTTTCTAGCGATGAATGCAAGGGTACTTGTCGGGCAAGAACTTTGCGCAGTTTGCTGTAGGTTAGTCGAGTACCTGTATTGAAGGGCCCTATCTATTCCAGACAGAGCGTCTTCTTTCAGTGCTGACACTTTAGTAGGCCGTCTTCCTAACTGGACCTAGCTGACCAGGCTCTGCAGTAGTTCTGTTCGGGAGCTCAGAGAAATGAATTTTCTACTGGCTTTCCCCGGAAAACATATGGTGAATTCCCACTACGACCGGGCAGGCGAGGCTTTCTCTCGGTGTGGTAGAAAACGATGGTGGCTGAAATGCTACGAATCGCGTATACATTGGATATACCGGCTGGGGTGCATGGGTGGGATAAACACCCGCGGGATTGCGGGGTAAGCCAGTAACTTTGTCTGCTGAGAAAATGTGAGAAAGTATAGAAAGGCAGAAAAAATTCAAAGAAAATCGGGCCGGTAAGGATGGGAGGGGGAGAGGTGTCAGTGAACATGTGTGGGGGAGGGACTTTCAAGGGGTCGTATTTTGCGGAAAAATTTTGCCAAACAGGATGCGGGGTGTGGGCGGTTGGGGAGGGAGGTGGGCGCGACGGGCGTGTTGGGGGGCGGGGATGGTGCTCAGGAGCAGGAGGGGCGGGCAGGCCGGGGCAGGGCCCGTGTTCTGTGCGCACCAGATGCGCCGGCCAGGAGATACCGACAGCAAATTAGCACTTTGTGTCGGGAAATCATTCGTTTTGAAGTCCGTGCACAAGTGCCTTGCTGCAGCCGTGGTGAGGGCCAGGAGACCCACGGTGGTAACGCGCAAGAAATATGAGCACTGTGGAGCGAGTGCCGCGCCCGCGCTATTTCACCGCTCCAAAGCCTCCTTGCCCGCACACTCGGGAATCATTGTGAAAACCGTTATGCTGCTGAGCAAGGTTCCGAGGAACTACAACTTCAGCCTCGTTCGCTGCGGGCGCTGGGGCGTTTCAGGAGGTAGACTTGGCGTGGTGCCAGCTCGTCCTCTAGCAATAAAGGATCTGGCACGAAGCACCACAATTGGAGGAGAATAGACTGGTGCCAGGCCAAACCCAATCCCTCTGAAACGCCTCGGCGTGCGCAGAAAATGAAGGTGTACGAGTTTCATATTCCTTTTCACAGGCATCAGAATGAACATTTATTGCAGGCTCTGGCGGACAAGGGCAGTGGCGCCTACTTCTACCTGCCCAAACTGCAGAACGCCGAGGAGGCGAAGTTGTGGGCAGAGGTGTTCGCTTTCTCCGAGGAAAGACTCAATCTACCTAAGGGAACCATCAGATGTACTGTACTCATCGAGCATCTTCTGGCAAGCTTCCAGGTAGGTTCCTCCGGATTCAGCTGATTTAGTGGCTCCCAATTTAATTTTGATAGCTCTCAATCTGATGGTTTGTGGCATTCAGATGAACGAAATCATCTACGCGCTCAAAGACTACATCATTGGATTGAACTGCGGCCGCTGGGACTACATCTTCTCTTACATCAAGACGTTCCAAAATCACAGAAAATTCCTTCTGCCAGACCGATTCCAGATTGGTAGGGTATTCAGGCCTAACTTGGACTCGACTTGGACCCGATAGAGATATTTTAGGCATGACTTCACCATTCATGCGAGCATACTCCCTTCTCTGCATCAAGACATGTCATCAACGAGGGATCCATGCCATGGGTGGAATGGCCGCTCAAATCCCTATTAAGAACGATGATGTGAGTTTTTAGGGATCTGCTAGGGTTGGATTACAGAAATAACCATTGGTTTTGTAGGTTGCCAACAGCAAAGCGCTCGCCTTAGTTCATCAGGACAAAGAGCGAGAAGCCACAGACGGTAGGTAGAGGAGCTTCTTCCCACACACCCACCCATTTCCAACTTGCGGTTTCCAGGACATGATGGAACATGGGTCGCCCACCCAGGACTGGTACCGATCGCCAAAAAGGTCTTCGACGAGTTGATGCCCACTGCGAATCAGATTGAGAAACAGGTAGAATAAAAGGGGAAGGCTTCTTCAAAATGGATGAGGAGATCCCATCTGATTTCAGCTTCAAAGCTTCTCTGTCACGAACCAGGACATGACAGCTATTCCCGAAGGAACTCGTACCGACCAGGGCTTCCGACACAATATTAGCGTTACCCTTGGTATGTGCGAGTCATCCTGCTTCCCCTAACGTAACATTTGAGAAGAAAAGACTGTGATTTTAGGATACCTTGACTCATGGCTACGTGGTGTTGGCTGTGTACCGCTCTACAACCTAATGGAGGATGCTGCTACAGCAGAAATCAGTCGCTCACAGCTCTGGCAATGGCTGAGACATGATGCCCGACTAGAGGGTAAGTTTTGAGCCTCAGGTTCATTTCTCCCTTTAAAGACATCCATCATCGGACACTATGTCTTTCAGATGGCCGAACCATCGATGCTCAATTGGTCAAGCAGACAATCGCTGCGGAAACCGAGAGGCGACTCATCCGAGCAGGATCAGTTGTCAGCAGGTACTGCATTAATGTGATTATCAATGGTGACTAGCGCTTTTCTCCCACTTTCCCATCAAAGAGATATATGACCCCCACCGGGTTGATAGTTTAGAGCAAATCCACTGTAGCCTGCTGATTTGCTGCGAGACCTGTTCCTAACTGTAGAGGAAAAATGTTTTTCGGAAAAAGAGTAGGTCCTTATACAAGTCGTGAAGGGAGCAGGACAGCTGACGATAGCGATTTCAGTGATAGGGTGGGAAAGACGCCGATCGGTATTTGGGGATGGGATCGTACTCATGTTGTAGAGGGGTAGTCTCTCAGCGCCGATAGAAGGGTTTTTCAAAGCCATGGTTAGCTGAACAGCCGTATTCCATAGCCAACTAATGATCTTAACCTTTCCCCGCTCGTGCTCCATAAACCTCGCGTGAAAAGACTGTCAGCTAGTGGCTCCCAAGGGGCCAAAGGATGAGCTGGTTTGGGATGAGATGCGCCATGGCTTCCATTGAGAATTTCGGGCAGCATTCATTTCACATGGAGTACACCAGAATGCAAGTGTAGTTCTCATGATGTTCAGTTGAGATCTTTGCACTCTGATCTGAGATCCTCAGACCAGAAAAGAGATGAATGGTTGTTATTCGCTGAATAGGCTAAGAAAAGCATCCGGGAGGACAGCTACAATCTTACTACCCACAGACGTTGGGTTGTACTAAAGGAGTTGGATTCGGCGCAGCGCCAGCCTTTCCTCCAAAAAATGTGGTAGTTGGCGACGACCGCAATTGGTGAAAGAGCAAGCTGGCTCCTGGCTCAGCCCTCCCTGAAACGCCCTGGCGCCCGCGGAGAACAAGACTGTACCAGCGCCGCAGAAGTGATACTCCTAGCTTGGATAGGTCCCTGTCTATTTTCTTGTACTACAGTGCATAACGTTGGTATGTACGGCGCATGCTACGGAACCTGCCTTCAATCCTTCTTCTCCTTTTTCTTCTCCTACCTTCAATCCCGCGTTGTTGCGGGTTCCGCTGGACTTGTTAGCACTGTCCCAAGCATCTCCTGCCATGATCTTGACTTCAGCGAGCCTTGCCCTCCCCTCTCTCGACCCTACAAGAGACCATCGGGCTGTTTCCACTTCTACCTTCACCCATACTCTAGCATGTTCTCTACAAGAAGTTGCAATGACTGTTTCAGGCTTCCTGAAGCAGCTGAACTCTTGGAGAAATTCGCCCTTGAAGAGCACATGAGCGATTTCCTCACACTGGACGCCTATGACAAGCTTGTTTCCGAAGGACATTAGACTACAGTATTTAATAGATGAACGGCCACCTGGATTCAACTCTAGGCTTCCAATTAGCCGCAGATGTTTTGGTGTAA